TAAGTGGAACATTCACCCAACAGTATAGCAGGAGCTCTGTTCGGCAATTTCTCACTAGCCTGCTATTGACTCCATCGCTCCCTAATGACACGTGTTTTGTTCCCTGCGTCGTTTTGCATTTACTGCCCCCCATGGACGGATGTTTCTCCGTCCATCACTGAGACTTCAGTGATGTTGACTTTCTATCAGCGGGACGTAAAATTCTCCCCTTCCATACCGGCTTGGAAGCAACTCCCCTGCACACGCCTCACTGATTGCGAAATGTGAATTGTGAGGCCTGAGGCCACATTTTTCGCGTGTTATCGTTTCCACTGCTGAAATCGTCGATGATGGGAAACATCACTCAACCCTTCTCACATTAAAGCGTTCGCGGCAAGCCCACCTGTTGTATAATTGTCGATTCGACTTCCTGTCGTCACAAAGCTGGAGCTGTTTACCATCTGTTGTATGGCGCCTCACATCTGACAAATACGTTCCGTCCGGAATGCGCATTGGACCGCACAGCTCACTGTGAGTGTGTGTGATCGGAAGGCACTCGGCGACCTCGTGACCCTCGGTATACCGCTGACTTGTAAAAGGTCCACGCGACGCTGACAATACTCTTCACAGGACTATCGCATGCTGTCCCATATGAGCAAATCGTGTAAGTGCTAATTCACCGTGACCCATCGATGAATCCGAGGTACATTGAAACGGAAGACATTGGCCCCGGATACTTATACCACGTCCATCTACACGCGGCTCAACTTTTGGCTGTCCCTACTCCGTGCGAGACCGTTCTAGAATTCGGGTAGTTGTTAGTCACTCTGATGATATTGGGGCCATTAACCTGCATGAGGGTGCATAGCTCACAGAGTAATTGCATAGTGACATAATTAGTTTCCCACTTTCACACGTGTGAATGGCTGCTTTGGCTTGACTCTTAAACATCCAGATGCGCATGCCACATAGCTTTCCACTCAATATTTGCTTCACACCTTCAAGGTCCATGGTGCTGTTGTGACTCCTTATTGATACACCATCTATCTTCCTAATCAGAGCTCAAGCTGTCGAATTCGTCTATATGTGGCCATACTCTTTCTGGAGAAAATATCACGGAGATGTTTGGAATGCACATTGGTAAGACTCATGTGGTTTTAGAAAGCCTTATCCATGTGCGGCGACATAGTGGTAACGGTTCGTTGATCGAGTTCAGGTTAACTGTGTGCATCCGAGACCTGATCACTTTACCTTGGATACATCAAAAGAGTGCTTGCCTTTGGTTACTGATGCCTGCAGCGTATTGCTCATGTATGGTGCGATCACCGAATGGCTGATGTTGAGGTAGAATATTTGATTTCCGACAAACTTTAGCCTTCTTTCAGTATTGCCATTGGCTGGAGGCAGGGCTATCCAGCATCATCCTTCCTAATCCATTTCGTTATAGACAATATCCTGTAGGGCGCTATGAACAATTGCGAACCTAATGGCGTTGAGCTGCTTCGTGGAAACCCTGTCCTGTTCCTTTGTCTGTTTTGGGTCATACAGACGACATTGCATTGAATTGCAATTCTTCTAAGGTCACTCAAAACATGCTGTGTAAGTGGAAGGTGTCTGGTCTCTCAAATCAGAGCGATCTTCGTCCCATCGCAGCGTAAGATCCTCTGCAAGACTAACTAAGAGCTGCCCCCGCCTTCATCCTTTCGGGTCACACTTTAGAAGTGCTAGACAAGTCCGTTGACCTCTCAAGCTGTTTCAGCACTAACGGTTTAACAGAAGACAGCATAGTTCCCTGAAATACACCTGCGTCTATGATTAGGGATGAGGATCTTCTACCTCTAAGTTGAGTAACCTGATTACGATCGGGAAACTGACCCTTCAACAAAGGGACAATGGGAGGATGTATTTAAGTAGCGAGTAGATCTTTCAAAGCAATTTGCGTTGCTGTAGTCCAGAAAACAGATGCAGCTGAACTTGCTTCTATTTTTCAGTGTTAACAAAACCGATTGCACAAAACAAGTTACTGCGTCCTGGGCTGACCTCGAAATGCGATGGTCAAATTGAAGGGAATCATCTGACCGCTTTGTATGCCATCATTTTCTCAGGCATGATTTTCTCGAACACCTTTAAGGCTACCGAAGTGCAAGCAATTGGTCTATATTGGCTCGAGCCCTTTATTGGCATTGGTGTGATATTGACACCTCTCCAGCAGTCTATAATTTTATGTTGTCGAATGCACAATGTATATAAAGTAGCCAGAGGTTTGACCATAAAGTCAAAACATTCCTTTAGGACAATGGGAGACAATCTGTCGGGACCACTTGCTTTTCCTGAGTGAAGCTGTTTCAGTAACTCGTGTACAGTGCCGCTGTCGACAGGGAACAGTGATTCTACAGTGTGTGACAGTTGCGGCTGCTCACCACTAAGAAACCTATGCTTATGTGGAGGATCATGACACTGACGACGATGTGGTGCGTGTTCCATTGTTTATACCGATACACCTGTAGCTATGGAGACAGCCACGCTAAGCGCACTAGCCGAGGTTCCGGTGCCAGAATCAAAGAACACATCTCCAAGTGGTTACTCAGCAGGATGGAATGTGTGAAGACGGAATCAGTTGAATATGAAAACCCAGCTGCCTCGGCAATTATAGGGCACTTGCTGACCACCGACCGCCGATTCAATCCTTTCGAGTCGTTCACAGCGAAACAACATTCTTAGGCTACTGGAGGCCATCGTTCTCGATCGCGAACATCAATCGCTGTGCATTCAAAACAGCTGGCTGCAGCTCCATGCCTACTCTTCCAGGGCGATCGCTTTACCATGTACGATCTCTTATGACACTGTTTTGCCTTATCAGTCAGTGTTGCATATTTGTGATCTACAAAAATTCACTGAAATGACCTCACCTCACAAACTGCGTCCTGTTCGTAATTTTGTAGGGAAGTTAATGCTTCAAAGGTTTCCGATTTACTTTAAAATGCATATACGGTTGTTACCAGCGCATTGTATACTTCGTCCTGTTGGATAACGTGCAATCCATTCGTGGAATCAGTTGGTTACGCGTGAAATGCTGCTGCATTTTGAATTCGAAAAAAGTGCTCGTAGCTACATGTAATCAGCCACAAATACTTATAGACCGTCATCCGATGTTCTGCGAAATTATCGAAGTGTTACCTCAATTCCTTCATTCTACGCTCTAACGAATAAAACACAGCAACTGTAATGCGAAGATATCCTGGGACATAAAGATCTCTTGTGTGTCTGGTCGTTTGATCTTAGCCAACCAACCACTGTTCGCAACTGAAAAAGAGTTTATTCCTTCAGTATAATTTGTTAAATTTCTAGTTAAACTAGAGGGCACGGGATAAATCGGTGTACCACACAGCTATTTCAGCGGTTGTTTAGGCCATTGAAACTGAGCAGAATATGGCATGCTATATCTCAGCAGCCTAGTCACTTCGACCTGCTTTGTCATCCATGACTCAGTGACAAAAGCAGCCGACTATAAATTGGTCGATCTCGAGTTGGAATCTCGGCGGAATCGAGCGAAGTGCGCCAAGCTGGTGGGTCTAAGTAATCCTCCAGAGTTTCTCCGCAACTTGTTGGATGCACGTCGGAGTTTGCCCTTGAAGAAATCAATTAAAATGAAGCAAAATCATTGGTTCCTTCCCGAGGTGATACCTTCGATCATTGATCAACTTTCCGGAATAGTTACGTGCGGTGACACCCTCAGCGAGTTTTGTCGGCACGACGTGGCCCTGTAATGACCCGTGAGGGAGAGTACCAATAAGCAGGAATATCAACCACGGGATATGAAAGAACAACCGTTTCTCACACAAGTATCTTTACTCCAAGCGAACTAAGGAAGCCTGAGTTAGCTGTACAGCTGTACACGGATCCCCTGAAAACTTAGTTACCGATGACGGCACCCAGTTCAATCCACCCCTGTCTGGGGATTTTTGTTATCACTTGCATATTCAACACGTACGGACAACCCCGTACCATACACGGTCAGGGCAAGCATTTTGTGGACATTTTTACGAGAGCGCTATTGAAACTCGAGGCGAGACGTGACAGCAATGTTGTAGACTTTCCACTCCACTTTCCGTACAAAACCATTCCTGAAAATCAGACCCCGGTCAGTTTGATCATGGGTCACAAGATTAGAATCACATTTGATGGCCTCATTTCTAATAATTGCGTTATCTCTATCTAGATTTCGTACCAAAACGATCTATGCGCCCATGCCTATCGGCCTGGATGCTTCAAACGTATAGATGGCGTTAGCAGCGGAATAAGGGAAAAACTAATGCTTGACATCTAGATTGATGACAAGATTTGGGTCTGCCATCAATATCAGCTACAAAAGACACACATGTATGGATAGCCAACTCTTCCAACGACCAAGTTTTCCCTTCGAAAAGTCATATGTTCCATGTTCTTCGAAAGAGGAATCACCGCCGAACTCAGTAGCATGTGGTCACCACGGCCCAGGTGATCCGACCGTGTTTGTCGACCACCGCAGCGGACAAATTGAATCCAGCCACACGCACCTACCAGTGAATTCAAAGAGGGTGTTGGAAAAACCTGCTCAGAACCGACCAGACAGGCTGGTATCGATTGGACAATTTAAGGGTCGTATCTTATGGACCGTGAACTTTGAGCAAAACACACTGGGACCTTGGCCTTAGTGGCCTATACAGTCAACTCCGGTTTCTCCTTTTCGTTTTAGCCAGTATATTTGTGCGAATATCTCCTGTTCTCCCCCGCTTCGAAGGTCGATTTCCTGCTTGTTGATACTTTCTCAGGGGGTCGTTATAGCTTCACCTCGTGCCGACGCAACAGAACTGTTGCATGAGCAGCAGCCTCTTGCACTTCACTTGCCCGTAGACAATGAACAATCGAAGCTGGCACGTTTTCGATATTACCCGAGCCCTTGTGCAATATGTTCTGTGTCCTCCAACGAGTCCCCACGAGGCTCTACGGTAGCCCACTGATTTTCCAAGTGTGTTATAGCCGTTCGACTGCGTGTCGCCGTGAAGAAACGTCCTTGTTATTCGTCTTCCAGAAATGGTGTATTCTCGTTTTCAGCCAGACACGCATGTTCAGGTAATTAAAAATCTTTTCTAGTGCAACGACCACGGATGATCGGAATGTGTACATTACTAATGCAAATCGATTTCAGTTTTGCTGGTCGTAAATGCTTGTTATCCCAGTGTGTTATATTTATCGGGATTACTAAGCCCCTTAACAGATGATTTTGGATAATAGATAAATGGGCTAAGCACAAATGTAAAGTAGTTATAAATTTTTAAGCACATTGTGACGGCCGCTTTGCTCAAGCCCCTTCAGTAATGTCGGATGTTGGTTGTGGCACAGGATACTGGAGCAAGAGAGGCGTTTCGAAAAGGGACTGCAAGTGTAGAATGTACTAAGAGTACTGAGGATATGACAATGAAGACCACAAATAAAGAGGTGCGTTCAGTTTCTGCCTCCTTCAGTACACACTTGTTGGTTATAACTTTTTAATTGGGATAGCCGTGTTGGAGAAAGAAAGGGGATAAAAACAGTGAGTGTAAGGCTGTAACACTGCAATACTCTCCGTTGTAGACTGGTTTCTGGATCATATGAATCCTGGACCTTGTTCGTATGTTTGGCTATTTGTTATGTGACATCCCAGTAGGTGGAACACACTTTGCACAAATATTTTCTGGTCCTTATGCGAAATTCTTGCTCTGAATTTAAAGCACGTTTTTTCGGATGTTAATTTGTTCCAGATTCTGGTATATCTGTTAAGGAAAAAGTTTACGGATATGGTGGTCTTCGTTCTGCATTCCGCTGCAGATTTTTCTTTATTTCGCGCCTTGTATAATGCTGATTTGATAATTGTCATATTAAGGTTGAAAATATGCATTTTCTTATACAGGATGTAAAATAATTTTATTAGCCGGTTTTTTGCGCCACAACTAGAGGGGATCAAGTTTGCTTTTATCCCATATTTCGAAATATTTTAATTTCTATGTGGTATCTAATAAGCGCTTTGTGAATGTTCGTTGTACGTTTTCTAATACAATACTGGGACCGTAGCAGAAGCACATGAAAATTGGGTGTTGCCTGCCTGAACACACTACACTCAATACCCGCTTCGATGTTATTTCATCTCATCAGATGAAGATAACAGGTAGTATTCCAATAGGGGGACGAGAAAGTAATGGATATGCGCAGAGTATAGATTATTTTAATTTACATGTTCTAACTAGCACTTCAATGCTCTGCTTGGCCTTTGTATGTACCAACTTGTTCTGGTGGGACACGCAGGTCATACAGCACCTTTCAACCAGCGGTTACCGCACAGTTGTGTCAAGCTGTGCCAAATCCTTCTTCGATAGGTATTGCTTGTGGGACCGATTTAAACTGCTTCGAGCTAATGATTTACTTGTTTACCCGAATTGGGTGCTGTTTCATCGCTTCGTGCACATCTGCACAGGGCACTACACTGCGGTCCACATCTGGCGCAGTGTGAGCTCTACTCAACTACTCCTCCTTTGTACTTCACAAAATATTGACTTGCGTGGCTGTACTTTACCTGGAAGCATCCCACAAAAATTATAGACGTAAACATCAATACCCTACTCTCACCCAGCTCTACGACGGGGCTTGCTTGCATTTGCTTTTTAATTCTTGGTAAATCATTGTTCATTATAATGGAATTGTGGAAGGGAATAAGACAAACCAAGTCACCTGTGTCAACCAATATCACAAGCACTGTTCACAGTGCTGCTTTGCTAACTTGAGAGTATGCAATCAGATTGCAACGCATGAGTAAGGTGGCCAGGTGTCTTCCGTGTACTTGAGCCTGCTGATCAGTGGTCCGGAACCTCGATCACTTATGGAAGGTCATGTCGCATGTCATACCAGCGTGTCAACGAACCGAAACTCTGGTACTTGCGAGTAGTGCTGCACTTATCCTTCATAAACACACACACTGTAAGTAGTTCACAAAATTGCATAGTTTTACCCGGATACCGGTGATGGCAGTTGTTTCCAGTTCGGTGGCCCACCGTTGACCCTATCCAACTTCTGTTTCAACCAATCAGCTTTGAACTGCTACCTCACTCTGATTGGTCAACATGATCCGTTCAGTAATGGGATAAATTCAGTTGTCCCGCGCTACAAGGGATATTCGGCTCACGATGGAACAGGTCGATGATGGATTTTCCTCGCTCTGCACTGGTACAATGGGTTCGATGAATAGCGGTTCACCTAGTACCCGATATGCTGAGGGACAGGTTTCGAAGACTCGTTTGCTGACGAGACTAGCTAAGCTCAGGAAGCGACGTGCGCCCAATGCAGACCTCTTACGAAATAGGTCTAAGCCATCTGGGACAAACGAAATTGTCGCAGACGATGGTAGATTTTCAGTAACCGAGGAAGAGCTCCAGGATCTACGTTTGATCATCAACAGTCGTGAACGGAAACGAATGCAGGACCTGAACTCAGCAATGGATGGACTGCGGTGAGTTTACACTCGACCATGTGATCACGAATGTGTAAGAGTAAAATTTTCATTGAGGAAATGTTTTACCACTCGATGGCAGTAAGCTGCAAATTTTTATGGTATCAAAACCGAAGTGCCTCTTAAAACTCCTTGGTTTTACGTTATATCAACCGTGATGCAGATAGAGCTTAGAGCAGAGGGCTGGTTTGTATACTTGACCTGTGATTTTTTGTTAGCCTCAACGCACCCAAGCGATTGGTAACTTTAACTCATTAGTTATACCACGGTGGATTTGTAATCATTCATAGCGCACTTAAGGTGCAACCCTAGCAAAAGTTTGAAACAACCCTTCATCCCATTATCTTCGCGCGCGCACAGCTGTTTCATCAATGCTTGGTCTGTGAATTCAAAGGCTCAACTATGAGGACGTGTTATTAGTTTGACATAATTCAACATTTACACAAATGAATTTGTACTAAATTTGTGATAAAACTGGTGACACCGGATACAAAAGAAGGTTCGCTCCTTATTTGCCTTCGCTTCCAGTGCACTGACAAAATGTTACCTGTAAGAATGTGCCGGTGGATAAAGCAGACGGATATTAAGTTACCCGCCCGAAAACCCTACACATTATACGCGTTTTGATCTTATTTCACCTCATCAGATGGAAATAGCAAGCCTCCAACGCTGGACCGTTGTGATGTTAGCCGAAATCTCTACCCCTTTAGCCAACCGGTCACGATGGGCAACGCTCGTAACAACGGTTACTGACTGACTGTACGGTCCTTTAGAAGAATGCGTTGTGTGATTGGATTGCGACACTCAATCTCAATGTTGACCGCGATTCTCATTGGTAAGTTCAATCGCTGGGACCGTAATCGAAGCAGATGGAAATTGGGTGTTGCCCACCCGAAAACACTGCACTCAATGCGCGTTTTTATGTTATTTCATCGCTTCAGATGGAGATAGCAGGCCTCAAACCCTGGACCATTGTGATTTTAAGCCACTATCTCCACCTCTTTAGCCAGCGGGTCACGACGGGCAACACTCGTAACAACGGTTAATGACTGATTTTGCAGCTCTTTAGAAGAATGCGTTGTGTGATTGGATTGCGGCGCGCAATCTTAATGTGGTTCGCATTAAAGTCAATTAAATTACTGGGACCGTAGCCGAAAGTGATGGATATATTGGGTGTTGATCATCCGAAAAATACACTCTCTGGCCGGTTTCGAACCTATTTGCTCTCATCAGGTAGCGATAGTAGGCATCGAATTCAGGATTCTTAGGATGTTAGCCCAGTGAGGTCAAATAACGTTGAAATGCGTCTTCACTTGCAGTATTTTCGTGTGAGCAGCACGCAACATCCAATTGATGGCAGTGACCGTTTCCCTTCAATAGGAATCGTCGTCCGCATTGCGATTGCGTGTCACAATCCATTCACTCAACGAACACTTCTACATGGCCCCTGCAATCAGTGCTGGTGAACCTTTACATTCATTTTCGGGAAGATTCGTCACAGCCGGATTGATTGAGACAGCAATCATGTCCCCGGGAAAGCATTGGGCTACCGTTTCGTCAGTAGGGTGTGTCTTACTCGTGCATGGAGACGGGTGATAGACTGCTACTTTGGATCTCAACTAAAAGTCAGTCACAATGGTTCACCGCAGCCACGCGTGACTAAAGTATTTTTATCCGGTCGGATTTAAGGAAGCCGCACGCTTCTATCTAACCGCAATGTGGAGAAGTGCTTTGCCAGTTGTGTGCCAACTATTGGATTGTGTCTAATTTCGACGACCTTCCTCACGAACTGGTTCATGTTTTACGAAAACCTCGTATAAGAACGCCTTATACTAGCTGGTTACATTCACGGATTATTCGTTGCTTAGCTGTGCCAAACAAGTAAGTGAGAGGTATTTTGCACCACCACGTGAACTGCCACTTGACGTGCTGTGTCGGTTCAGATAACTTTATAGCTGTCACCTCTGATGATAACATCACTGAGCAAGTTACTTCGCTTATCAGCAAGGCCCTTATAGCTTTTCAGGGGCTCAACCATCTATGGCGACAGTGAACTATCAGTCTGTCAATGAAATTGAAGGTGTATAACGTCGCGACAAGGCCGGTGGTAATGGTTGGATCAGAGATCTTGCCAGTCTGCAGTGAAGACATTAAACGCTTAGCTGTGTTTGACCTTCAGTACTTACGGGGTATTGCTCACACTTGGTGGAAATACCGGGCGGACATTGTTAAGATTCATCAGTTGGTTTACAAGAAAAATCATTTTAACACCTCAATCGAATTTTTGCATAGCTTGATTAGGCCATATCCACCGTATGCTTGTTGATCGCCTTCTTCTGTGCGTATTATACGCCTTGGCTTCACCGATAGGCGAAAGTTCGAGTCGGGCAGTTGATGACGTGGCATAAGGTCATGAAGAATTTGACTGTGAGGCTGGGTCAGGCCGGTGCTTATAGATCAGGGATGTCCCAAGTCCGGCCCGCGGGCCAAATGCTGCCAGCGTTAACATTCCAATTGGCCCGCAGCCTCATCATGAAATAATAAATTCACGCTTGGACTTTTTTCGTACATGTGTAATTTTTGTGATTGACTTGATAGACTGAATATTGCCTGACATAATTTTGCCTCACCAAATGTGACCCCTCTTGCAAAATGTTTGGACACCGCTGCTCTAGATGGTTTACACCAGTGGTTTGAGTCTCGCGCAGATATGGCGCAGTCTCGCAGCCATTGGCGTTCCTGTGATCGGTTTGGTTAACCCAGCTGATAATTTTCCATTCCGATTTCCTCAACGCATTTTTGTTCGGTTTCCATCGTTTCTTATTCGGTTTGCACTCAACTTCATTTTCTTGCCGTTGTTATTTATTGTTATTCTGGCGAGGTGAGTCGTGGTAACTGTATCCACCGCCATATACTCATTTCAAAGTTGTTCAAATGAATTGAACTGAACTGAACCACATCGTTACATGTTTGCTACAATTGACGCAGCAATTTTCAACAGAATCATGGTTATGGTTAGAGAATGTCGTTTCATAAAATCGACCCCGTTGAGGGAAAACTATAATAGTGCTTTGAAACCTAATTTGATCATCAGCTTTGATTGGGTCAATGCATGTTAGTTACAGTAGGAACACCTTACATAGGAAATTCTTTTTAAACCATACCCGGTGACTCGTGTACGCAAACTTTTTAGTAATTTCAGCTGTCTACTTTTCGAGAATGAACATGCATGCCACCTGAACATTTGTGATAGGCCTTATAAGAGATGTTTAGGAGTGTTTGAACCTATAGGTTTTGGCAAGTAACACGGGATAAAGCTTACTGTTTGAATACGACCAGAAGCATACAAAGCGGACCTAAGTTAACCACATATTTGAGTTCTGGATTATTTCCCTTCCATTCCGCATCTGTGAATGAGATACGACTACTCATCGACCATCGGACTGTTGTCTAATTGGTGCTTCGTAAATATGTGTAATTTTGGGTTTTTAATCAGACAGCTGAGCTCGCGCTGGACCTGAGTGCGTCATAAACGGGGGATCAGATGTACCTACAGTAATTTATAGCCTAGACCAAGTGGAATGGGGCGATACCAGATGTAGAAGGTTACGCTAATTATCAGCAGGTTATGCGAGTTTTTTCATTTCCACCACCTATCCGCACAAGTGGTGACTTTACAGCTGATCCAATCTCCTCAGGATCCAACGTTGTTCGAACCACGACTTTTTAATCAAGTGAGTGACTTAAACCACTGGGCCATGTGCTGCTTGATTGCGGACATGTGTCCCATCAACTTGCGGCAGAAAATCATGGTTTTGAATCCTGAGGGATTCGGTGGAGATGCGCACTCCCTACGACTTCTGATTCAACGCAGCAGTTTTCCGCATCTGCAGTTACTGCCTCACTAAGTTTGGATGTAGTAAATCAACCCAACTTAATTCATTAATCTGCGTACGTTCCAATAAAGTACTAGTGGTGTTTCATTCCTATAGTATTGTTCTTCTACGAATCTTGCTTATGCAGCATGATGCCTGAGTGTGACCATCTCGGTTTCGAAATTCGGCTGGATGCTACTTACGACGTAAGATCTTTCAGCGACTAATGAGTAGTACGTTAGATTAGTTTTTGATAACAGCTGGACGATTAGCGATTCTGATGGGTACATATCAGACAGTGTATGTCGGCGTGCATTTAATAATCAAAGGTACAAAGCTAAGAGATGAACGTTGTAAATTATCTGACATCTCCACGCTGCATGAAAGCGAACATGCAAATGGTGCATCGCCGTAATCTGACCACCATGCACTTGGTTGTGCTAGGCCGCAATAAACAACGCAACCGATCAACTTGTCCCCTAGAGTTACTTTTCCTATCCTCCATGCCCTCGAACAGAACATGGAAACCACATATTGTCTCCCTAATCTGAACATCTATAACTGGTGCTCACTTTAGAACTACGAACCTCGGGGGGAACTTGAGTAGATCCCAGGTTCAGTGCATTTTTTCTGGATGACCTCGCCTTGATCAACTGATCTTGTTTTGAACCAGTCTTTAACCTTTACCACCGCCCTATGAATAGTACAAAATATATCTTTGAGTTAATGCCTTGCTCGGTAGGGAGCACTGTTGCTGAAACTATTGTCAGATAAACCCTACCAAACCATCAAATTAATGTCAAGTACTTAAAACTGTCATGACCAGATGCTCATCCACTGCTTCTAAGTACCCATACGATGAACGACAAAGTGCACTTAATGTTGGGTCTTTTATAGTTCTCTGCCAAATAAATCGATTTTAACTGGAGCATCGCCTGGTACTTTTGCCCGCCTACTATAGCGGCACTGTCAGTATGCATCACTGGGGTTCACCGGTAGTTTACTGGATTCGATTAACCATGATTGGGTACTGAAATTCATCCTTCTAAGCTCAAGGAGAGCTTATGTAAGTGTGCCAAGCATCGATCGTTGATTTTCTTGGGTTATATTGTTGCATGGACGCAACATTTTGCAATCATGTACTTCAGATACGGTTCCACTAACCGGACTTCGAAATGAATCGTGGTTCAAATTGGGGGTGCTTGTCGCGTCTCTTACAACGGTTACTACATAACAAATCCCAACTGAACCTCAAAACATTGTGTCAAACGTTACCCACAGATTTCAGTGTAGCGTTGATGTTGGACGGCAACTTATATTTCTGTATTAGACGGCGTCTCGGTTAGGTCGGATCCAGCTGAATGGTATACGCAGATACAAAACCGACCATGGATTGCACACATGACATTCTTCTGTCAGCTGATTTCCTTTTACTGCACCGCTAGTTAATTATGATCAATACAAAGTATACATGCTAAAAACGAGATCTGCTCTCCTTTCCCGAGTGTATGATAGCTGTCTGGCTAAGTCTATATGTGATGATTTTCTACCTGTACCATAAAACTCCCCCTACTACTTCTCTGTAATAATTAATAAGTTGATTTGCGGCTTAAGTTTGCTAAGTTCATCTCTTGATCAAAAGACTACCATGTCCTCTGCACGGTAATAGTGGTAGTAGTAGTCGTAGTAGTAGTATAGTCATCAGTCTGTCAAGTAGACATAGAGTCAAACATAACCATGGTAATCACTAAAAGAAGACAAGTTGAACATCATCATGGCACATTAACTGAAGGTAAGCAGCACACTTCAGCTATTGTGCCGCAATATAAAAGACAACGGAGCCTTTTCATTATTTTGCAACGTCATTTTTTTAATTTTTAATCGTTAAGCATTAAGCATCCAAATCGAAGTAGTTATATACACAGATCCTCCACTGGTTTCCATTACCAGCCATATCCTGAATCGTTTCCAGCCATCGGCACTCCTCCTCCTTTGGTCCCCAACCAGGCAGACGTGTGGATCCAATGGTGACAAGACGTGAAGTCAACAATTGCATTTGCTGCCGCCAGGTGGATGGTGGACCACCATGTGGTCTCTTCCAGTTGAGTCCCGCACGCGTAAACATAGCACGATAGGGCAAACGCCCAATTGACATATGCAAACCATGACCGAGCCAGTCTAATTGGCACAACAAAACCAGCTTGTTGAAGGGAATACTCACATTCCATAAGACACGACGTCTGACTTCACTGTTGCTAATGTGTTGTTGCCACCACACACAAACAATCTTCCTCAAACACCTGTTGTCGAAGGCCGAGAGCCGGCGAACGGTAGCAAGGCGTAAGTTAGTTGATAGCGAGCGACGCTATGTCACGTCTAGTAACAGTCACGACTTTTGTTAAAGTCCCCCCGTAGCTCATTGGTATCAACCACAGACTGGCAACAGTCGAGTCCCAGAGAGACCAGGTGGAATGGACACTGCTGATGATGTTTCACGAACAGATGAAACGGTCGTGTGTGTTGCTGATTCTAGATGTAAGTAATTTCTATTTATGCCTCCTTATATGTTAAATTATGGCACGCATGTCGAATAGAATGGATCATTGTGAAAAATATATTCCATCTCCAACCTCACATTGACCAACACTCGTCCCTTTTTCACATCAACCCGTATTCATCCAAGTCACCCCGGTTTCGCTGAAGGTTATATCATGCTATAGTAGTTGTCCGCAATCGTCGAATCCGTATGTCTTCAACTATCTTTGTGCACTCGCTCTTTCCTGCAGATCTGTTCTACCCTACGCCCATGGTACATCAGTCCGTAAATTGTCGAAAATAGCCACCTTACTTTTGGCCAAGAATTACATCTTGCTCTTGTCGGAAAGTTTGCTGGAACTGCAGACGCAACTGAAGAACTGCAATGTGGATGCTACCACGAGTATGTCTACTCGCGTCGCGGAATCCCAGCTATGGAACAATTACGCTCCAACTTACTCTGCTAGACGATATAAACCAGAGACGCCGTCTCATCTCAGTTTTCTCCCAGTCTCCTTAATTGAACCGGTCGGCCTGACCCCGGAAGTGAGAAAGCAAAATATCTCCCCGTGCTCAGTGTCTACGACTACCACTTCCGTGGAGGATCCGTCATCACTCGAGCTCACAGATTCAATAAACCGAACGCGGCAACTTGCGCTTTATCCATCGTCCATGAACACTAGTTCCCCGCCCACTTTTTTTCCCTCTGTTTCCGATTTTTTGTGTTGGTCAGTTGCTTTGAGTGGCTTGAACTCACAATAAAAGTGAAGAACATTATTTTAAGAATTCACCCTTGCGTAGTTATAACATCCACACGCTTCAGCAACCACTCTTAGTGTTTCTGGTGTACTATTGATTTCTGCTCTGCTGTTCACAAATGCCGGTTAACTTCCGCAAACGCACTTGCGAAACCGTTCCATGTTTCTGAAAAGTCCTTGGGTAACTGAGGTTTTGGTTGGGGTTGCCGTGTGAGGGTTAAGAAAGTAGTTATCTGCAGGGAATAAGTTGATGTTTCGATTCCGTAGTGATTCTAAACGGAATTATCTCTAAGTATGTGTTAGTTTAGGATGTAAATACGCCTACTATCTTAAAAACATGAATGGACCTCTCTGGGTTGACTAGGATTATGCGGGGTGCAACTTGTAACACGCATCAGCTGGGGCCAAACAGGGTAGCGTGGGCACACTCCCAGCTTCTAAAATAAGACGCGCGCGCGTCAACCCGCACCGAATAGTGACGTGCTTACCAAGCACACATTTGAATAGAAGTTTCCACTTAGGTTAAAATGCAGCGCACGGTTGCGCACCCTGTGACAACTTATTTAAAACCATGCACTACGCGGCGGCTCGGAAGAATTGTTTTCTCTCAACTGACATTAACCAAACAAACACGTAATTTTTGTTATATACTGCTGGCTCGCTGCAACACACTCCATGACCGGTTTCCAACTCGTTTGATGTCATCAGGTAGAGATAACGTAACGAACTCGGCATCAGTGGAATCTTGGTCGAAACCTCTATCCCTTCGGGCACCGCGAAACGGCCAGCAACGCTTGAGACAACGGCTACTGATTGGTTGGAGAGGTCATTTTGAACTAATCGTTGTGCTCATGGCTCGCGACACGCAATGTCAATGTGGACCGCGATACCTATTAACATGAACTTCAATCAATTCGATCGCTGGGGTCGTAGCTGGTGAAGTAGATAGATATTGGGCGTTGCCCGCCCGAAGACGCTGTACTTCATGACGCGTTTCGATTATATTTCCTCTCATCAAATTAAGATAGCAGGCATCGAACGTGGGACCATTGGGATGTTAGTTATGATTGAGAACCTCAAACCACGAGATCACGGCAGGCAACTCTTGGCACAATGCTTAATGATTGATTTTGAGGGTCAATTTGAAGTACACGATGTGTGGATGGATTGCGACGCGCATTCTCAATGTGGACCACGATTCTACTTGAAGTGTACCTTGGTCAGTTCGATCATCAAGACCTTAACTGATGAAACAGACAAATATGTGGTGTTGCATATCACAATCCATTCACATAATTTGTGCATACCATAGTTTATCTCTTATGCTTCCATTCATTTTCCGAACCCGTCGACCGCCGGACCACCTTCAACGTGCGCCTCTTTGCTCGTTGGATATTTCGACCCCTTTAGTTCACCGACAAGCGCCCTATACAATTAGGTCTCATATTCTGATTTTGCATTTCTCAGGCTGACTGTCCAAATGGATGTGTTGGGCGCTAACCTTTTCATACAATGATCGGGTAAATCTGCCAAATAGTTTACTCACTGCTCGGCCATTGTACAAATGTAACCTAAGCATCAAACTACGGCGGATTGCAGGGTGAGATGGCGCGGCACGATCAGGCGCGTGCTCTACCCGAGCAATCTGAAGGGAAATTGGATGTGAATGAATTTAAACCCCTCTAAGTTCAGGCATATATACAGATAATGCGGAGGAGTTTGAAGATACAAACTCTCTGGGTCATTGAAATGTACCCACCCGAGCCTGTTCTCCTTAACTAAATCTATCCGCCATCCTCAGAAGTACCCCGTTCATCTGAAAATATGACTATATACTGAATCACTGCTTACAATTCCTCATGCAGAAAGCCATCAGCGGCTAAGTTCAACCAGTGAGGGAACGGTGTGTGACACTCTAGTTCATGTAGAGGAAACCAACTAGACTTTTCAACCCTACTTATGGCAATTGTCACTATTCAGCACCATCAAATCTATTCGTGTCTCCATACTCCTTATAATCGACAATTGTGGTTTCTCGTAAAACATCATCAGTTCCCCTCATATAAGTAAGCCATTGTGAGTAAAGATCAGCAAAATTGTCTAACCAAACTCACAATGACACAGGGAAATCGTGAATCGTTTTGTTTTTACTCCCCTGTTGACCGCTACTGCAGATCCCCATTTCGGCATCTTATTGTCATGCTAACCGGGATTTCTTAATGCCAAAAATAACTGGTGGCCTCTGAATAAGAGGGCACAAACGGAATTGGAGGAGTACGGTCATTGTGATCACCTAGGAGATTTCTCAGTAGCAAGAACACAAGTATTCCTTTTCTCAAAGACTAGTACAGATATCAAAGGGAAACCCCATAGTCATAAAGTACTATTAAAATGTTACACACCCTGCAATACAGTTGAAAATTGTTTACAAATGTGGTAACTATGCACACGTAACAACGCTGAGCGATCAAAATGACCGTTCCGGGTGTTTTAGGGTTAAGTAGCTGGCTTGCCAATGTTATGTTGAAGCACATGGTTTGCATCCGTGTCGCTTGAAAGTTTGGCTCTTGCTGAAGCGTTAGCAATGGAAATTCTAAGGGAGTACTAATGTTTTTTGAGGGGAACAACTTGATTTTGAGACTAAATAGGATTTCGGTTCCATTGGTCCTACCCGCTACGGAACACCTCATTACCATTTTGCGTAATGTTCGCTGAATGTTTCGATCAGCCAGTATGGTTCAATAGTGTCCTCGCGAACAAATGTACGTGTGACGTTCGTTTAGGGGATCTTTAACGCCTTAGGTTAATTTGCTGATCACATAGAAATTCGTGTCGAGGAATTGGCACGATCGATGTCAGCTTATTTGATCGGGTTGCTGTCAGCATGTGTTCAGTGCCAGCAAACTTTACATTCCAAGTCGGCCTGATGAACTGGAAGGATGAGACATGTGGTCACTATGCATATTTTCATTCCAGATTGATTGCGGTAAAACCGTTTTCTGTCCACAGAATAGATAGAGTTAACAGGCTCGGATGCCCATACCAAGACGGAAGTTGCATCATTCTCTCAACTGACACCCTTTCCGTAGTCTGGCTACTCTCTGATAAAGACAATATACTTATGAATATGTGAATCGATTGGTTTTCTGTTCCCCCACAATGGACCAAGGTTAAATTGGTCAGTTTTCCTTGCCTTTATCGTGGTTTCCCACAGTAGAGTAGCCAAGTCTCATTATTAGGCCCAATGTTGCTCTAAACTGAATGCTCAGTTGATGAAAGGGTCTTATTAATTCCGGTTGTTTGATTTATTTAGCCAACATCGGGAAGTAAGCGGTATCTTAACAATGAGATCTCGGGAGACGCTTTTAATACAGTTTAATCGTTGGCATCGACGGGGATCTTACACGTATAGTTGCAGAATGAGAGTACATGAAAGCAGTTTCTTCGAGCCAAAGTTTCATGAAGTGATAAATTTATCGTGTCTGAACATACACAGCAGTGAAAGCCAGTTACGTACGTAAGTGGTTGGGCAAATTAACTAGTTGAAGTGAGTAGAACTAGTAAGCGGGGTCACTAATTGCTTCTCCTGGATCTTGACACCTACTTGTTGTGTAGAGCGTTAACTTACTTTTGGGAACCCAAGCAAGAGGATGAAACGAAATCGGGGTAAATGTGGATTAACCCAGCTGACTGAATAAATTAGTAGATAAACATTCGTATTGCCCGCTCGAATACACTGCACTCCACGAGAGAGTTTATATGTATTCGCACTCATCAGCCAAAGGCACCATAGTTACCAGGACCAGAACCTGGCACGCTCTGGTGCCATCCGGAACTGCAACACCTCGGCCACCGAGCGGAGGTGGACAACGTTCGTCGCATCATCAATAACTTCATCGGTGACTTGAATGTCATAAGTATTAACTCATCACATCTAGATTTAGTCAGGCAGCTATCAAATACACGGAGAAGCACTGCATGACCGTTTCATCTTCAGTGCGCGTTCCATCTGGTCTCTGTGGATCTCCAGCGCACAGAGTCCGTGGTTAAAACCACTGAGCTTACGGCTTCGTTGGAGCGATAACTACCGCCATTCTACATCAACTAAATCCCGTTACTCACTGTCAAACATGTGGCTTTCCAAACAGTGTTCGCACTGTTTTGGAAATGTTCAAGTCGTAGCATGGCTGTCATCCAAATAATCAACCGTTTATGCATACCGCTGTGTACTCTGCTGTGGCCATAAGCTATTTGGTAACGATCTGCATCGTACATCTTGCGTGCAGCCATTCGGTGCTCCTAACACGATTGTCGCTATGCGCCGATTCATTTCCGATGTAATAAACTAAGACACTGACGTCCAATTCAACTTCTGGTAAGCATCTCTGCGCTTCGTCTTCAATCCGTTTGGTACTTGCGTTTTCATAAGCCCCGATAAATTCATTATGGCTGATGAACAACGAGAAATATAGCTATGCTCACTCTTATCACTGACCTGTGGAGCGGAACATGAACTGTTGACATCATGATAATCGTTAGTCGGTTAGTTGTCGGGATTATTCACTTGTTACGGATTTTCCTGCAAGCCAACTCAGCCTCCGAGATTGCTACACCTAACCTCCGGAGCATAGACAACAATTTTCCCTAAACCGACTTCCTCCCACCAGACCGTGTGTGTGTGTGTGTGTGTGTGTGTGTGTGTGTGTGTGTGTGTGCAGCGGCAGTAATTTTAGTAGGGTCATTCGAGGTCGCAACACTTGCATCCGCTCCAATGATCTCACTCATTCCACCCAAGTTCGGAATTATCCGCTAAGAACGCATTAAACATTCTGTGAAGAATGGGCTCGAGACATTTATATCAGTGCAGGTCACAAATATTTTCTGCGTATGCTGTAAACGCATATGGAGGAGAAGGGGGGGTGAACAGATGTTCAGCAGCTCAGTTCCGCACTGATTGGTTAATTACTCAGGTTTTGGGGATTTCAGTGACTGGAATTCATCCTC